TTATGCTGACATATATCTATCTTGCTCTTTGCTAGCCATCTTGAATCTAAGGATTGGTGTATTTCATCTCTCCTGAAAAATTCTTAAACATTGTGTCTTAAACATATTGTTTCTCCCTCCTTATCCCTGCTCTCTTCCAGAATTCCAAATAGACATGTGTTGGAACTCATGCTATCTTTCTTGCCTCTTTAATTTTCCGTATTTTTCTCTTTTTATCTCTCTGTGTTGTTTTATGTGAGACTTACCAGGGGAAGCATCAGCATCTCAGCCAGCCTGGTGGCTGGGAATGTGCAGTTCCTTGCAGGCTGTCGGGCTGAGGGCTCAGTTTCTTGCTGGCTTTTGCTGGAGGCTGCCTTCAGCTCCTTCTTGCCTGGCCCTCTCAATACGGTGGCTCACAAGATGGCGGCTTTCTCCTTCCAAGAACGCAACAGAGAGTGACTTCTGGTAAGATGGGATACACTTTATGTAACGTAGTACACACAGTTACCTACATTCTGTTACCTTTGGTATGTTCTGTTGATGAAAAGCAAGTCCCAGGACCTATCCACAGAAGGCATGGGAATCATGCACTTACCCTAGATTCTGTCTGTCACAGTGTACACACTGAAGTGTGTACATCTGGAATTTAATGCAAAATGAATCCATGTAACCACCAAAAATGAAAAATGGAAAGTTGTCTATATCCCATAAGTTCTCTTTATGCCCCCTCCGAGTCATTTTACCCCTTCTTCCTACTGATAACTGCTGATGAAATTTATGATAAAACAGCCTCTTTTTTTTAAGAAAACGTATCTATTTGTATCCCACCTAGGAATGCATCCCTAAACAGTATGGATTAGTACAGGCTATTTTAAATGGAACCATCTTGTGTAAAGTCTTCTAGGTTTGCTCTATTTAATTCAAACATCAGGTTTGTGAAATACACCTAGGTTCAGTGTGTAGCTGTATTTTGTTCATGTTTATTGCGTTATAATTGTCCATTGTATAAGCATCACACTTCATCAAGTTGACTATTGATGGACATTGGCTTATTTCCAGTTTGAGGTTATTGTAAACAATGGTGCAAGAAACATTCCTGTACAGTGTGTGTGCTTACACTCGTTTATGTGGGGTATATACCTAGAAGTGGAGTCCCTGGGTCACAGGGAATGCGTATTTTCAATTTTAGTAGTTATGCCAAACTGTTTTCCAAAGTGGTTCTTCAAGTTTATACCCACCACCAGTAATGGGTGAGAATTCCTGTTGCTTCCCCATCCTGACCAATAGCTTGTACTGTCAAGTTTTTTTTTTTAATTGTTTTTAGTTTTAGCCCTTCTAATAGGTATAAAGAGTAGTACTTCGTGTGCCTTCAACTTGCATTTCTCTGTTTATTGATGGGGTTACACATGTTTTTATATGATTATCATTTTGGGTCGACTTTTCATATAATTATCTATTCAAATTTCTTGTTCATTTTTCTATTGAGTTACCTGACTTTTTCTCACTCATTTGTAGGAGTAAATTTTTTTTAAATGTTCATTAGACATGAGCACTTTATCAGTGTAAATAATAGTAACATCTTTTCCCAGTCTGTAAGTTATCTTATTATCTTAAAGGTGTCTTGATTTTAATGTATTCAAGTTTGTCAAAATTTTCCTTGATAATTACCATTTCATGTGCCTGGTTTATGAAGTCTTTCCTTCTCCTTAAATCATGAAAATAATCTCCTACATTGTCTTCTAGGAGCTTTATTTTTGGCCTTTGCATTTTTGCATTTAGATCTACAATTTACTTTGAAATCATTTTTCTGTATAATGGGAAGTAAGGGGTCATGTTTCTTTTATTATATATGAGTTTACAATTGTTCTGGAACCATTTATTATAAATCATATCCTTTCCTTTCTACTCTGCTGTGTTATCTTTGTCATAAATCAAATTTCCATAAATGTGTCTGTCTATTTCTGGGCTCTCTATACTTACATTTTCCAGTATTTCTATCTTTGCATTAATACTGCAGTCTAATTTTTTAAAAATAGACTTAATTTTTTAGAGCAGTGTTAGGTTCTTAGCAAAACTGAGTGGAAGGAACAGAGATTTCCTATATTCCCTTTGCCCCCCAACATGCATAGCCCCCCCTGTTTTCAACAGCTCCTACTAGAATGGTATGTTTGTTACAATTGATGAGCCTACACTGATACATGATTAATAATTAAAAGTCCATAGTTTACATTAGGGTTCATTCTTTGTGTCATATAGTTGTTTTTGTTTTGACAAACTTATAATATTATGTATCCACCATTATAGTATCATAGAGAATAGTTTCACTGCCCTAAAAATTACCTGTGCTCCATCTAGTCATCCCTCGTTCCCTTCCCACCTCAAACCCTGGGAAACCACTGGTTCTTTCACTGTCTCTATAGTTTTGCCTTTTCCAGAATATCATGTAGTTGGAATCATACAATTTGTCATCTCTTCAATTCAGACTGGCTTCTTTCACTTAGCAACATGCTTTTGAGTTTCCTCCATATCTTTTCATGAAGTGGTAGCTCATTCCTGGCTAGCACTGGATAATAATATTCCATTATTTGGATGTACCACAGCTTATTTATCCATTCACCTACTGAAGAGCATTAATGGTTGTTTCCAAGATCTGGCAATTATGAGAAAAGCTGTTATAACCATCCATGTGTAGGTTTTTGTGTGAACATAAGTTTTCAACTCCTTTGGGTAAATATCACGAAGAAATTGCTGAATCATAAGGTTAGGGTGGATTTAGTTTTGTAAGACACTGCACCATTTTGCATTCTCAAGAGCAATAAATGAGAATGTCTAATGCTCTACATCCTTGCTGGTATTTCATATTGCCAGTGTTTGGGATTTTGGCCATTTTAGTAGGTGTGTAGTAGTATCTCGTTGTTTTAATTTGCATTTCCCTAATGACATGTGATATGAAGCATCTTTTGTATTGCTTATTTGCCATCTGTATCTCTTCTTTGACACAGTATTTGTTAAGGTTTGACCCAGTTTTTAATAGAGTCATTCATTTTCTTATTGTGTACAATCTAATTTAATGTGACTTTCTAACTTCATAAATAAAGTCTCCTACCTTGTTCTTATGTAACTCCCCTGCCCTGACCCCCCACCTTTTAAAAATAAATTCTAGGTTTGTTTTGCTAATATATTGTTTAGGATTTCTTGTATGTATGTTCAGGACTGAGGTTTGGCCTGTAAGTTTCTTTCTTGCAACATCTTTGTCAAGTTTTGATAATAAAGCTATTAATGGAATCATAAAGTAAATTAGGTAGTGTTCATTCTTTGTGTATATATTCTTTGGTAATATTTTCTTGTGAAGTCAACTTTCTGTGATCTCATGATTTTTTTTTTTTTTGCAGAGGGGGCAGATTACAAGGTTTTAAATTACAGAATCAGACTTTGAATTTGTTCATAGACTGTGCATTTTTACTATATCTTCTGTATCTATTTTTGTAAATTTAATTTTTTTTAGGGATTTATCTAATTCATCTCTTCTTTTTTTCTTGACTAATATGTCCAAGAGTTCATAAGTTTGTTAGTTTTTTTAAGCACATAACTTTTGGCTTGGTTGCTATTCTTCTATGTATTATTTCTAGTTCATTAATTTCTTTATCGTCCATCTTCTAATTATCTTTGCTAGGTTTTTATACTTTCTCAGGATGGATGTCAGGATGTTTATCATTGATTTTCAATCCTTCTTCTTTTCTAATACACACTTTAAAATGATAAATTTGTGTCTAGTTGTTCCCCACAAGTTTTGACGTGTCATTTAAAAAACAATTTACATACCTTCTAATTTCCATTTGAATTTTTTTCTTTGACTCAGAGTTTACTTAAAAATGGTATTTCTGAAACTGCAAACCCTTCAGGGTTCTCTGTTATCTTTTTGCTATTGATTTCTGTGTGGAAGTAATTGTGGAAATCATCTTAGATGATAATGTATGCCTCCAGTAAAGATCTGAGTTTGCTTCTGCTAGGTGTCTGGGGACCTAGCAATTCAGGATAAGCTTCAAAGATTGATGTGATTCAAAGCTGAGCTACCATCTCCGTGAATGCCTATTGATTTCTAGGAAACTCCTGCTCCTTCGGTGTAGCCCCTCAGGGCTCTAAACAAAGCTTCAGGCTTCTACCCGTCTTCCCCTTTGGCGTGCCCTGGGTTTCCTTTTAGCTCTGTTAGATCATTTTGCTTCTACCGCTCAGTTTCCTCCTGGAATAGGCAAACACCCACAGCAGAACAGCAGCCTCTGACACCCTTAGACCGCCGACTATCCCAGGACCTTGGCATCACTTTCTTCACGATCCTGTGAGCTCTTCACTGCCCCTGAACGATATGTTTTATATTTCACCCTATTACTCTAATTGTCCCTAGTGGAAAGGTTTGTCTGTATTCCTTAGCCTTTAATTATTAAAAGTGGAAGTTTCATTTAGTTCTATTTCGTTTCATCCCGGTCAATTTTGATAATAATTTGTTCTTGTCCTATACTTAAGAAGCTTCTTTTATTTCTTTAAATATATAAAACATTCTTATTTTGTATTCTGTATCTGATAATTCCAATACTTGAAGTTTTGTGGATTTGATTCTACAGTTTTGTTTTCGGATTTTTTTCAGGTGTTGCTTTTTTACTCTAGTGTCTTCTTACACCTCACCAGTTTAGGGATTTTTCATTGTGTGCTCAGTCTCCTAGGAACTTTGTCTTGAATTCTCTGAGTCTTGCACTTAGATATTTTAACACAGAAAGGATTTTCTTTTTTGCTGCCATGTTCCTGGGAGCATAAAAAACCTGAACCACTTGAAACTAAAATTTTAGTTTTGGTTTTCCTGGGCCACTCAGACCATTTGAGTTTTGGCCTCAAATTTGCCTGATTCTGAGCATATATTTAAGAATTCTAAGGGGCCTTTTCCCTAGCAACTTCCACAGCCAAGGCCAAGAGAATCCAGCATTCCTGTCCATCTCCTTCGAGGGTGGGAATCCGTGGTGGGGGAGGGGCTCCAGGTTTCAGTAGCGTCTCTGATTGACCTTTCACCTTGTTCTCATAGGTTGGTTTCCAGTCTTTGGCCTGTTAAATCCCGGCTCCAGAACTCCCAGGATTAATGGTAGATTGGTGCCTACTTTTGACCCTCAAGTATTTCTTCTTTCCCCACAAGGCCGGCTATAAATTTAAAAGAGTTTTAAAAGATTTTAATCCAGAGTTTTAAGTTTTAGGGCTGTTCCAGGAGCAGTTTCTGTAACAATCTAATTAGTCATATCACTGATCAGAAGTCTCTCCCTGGGCATTCTATACTCTATGATTCTAAAATGACTTTATTAATGCTTATTACATTATGGTTATGCTTGTTACACACCACTCCTTCCCTGTCTGCATTTGCCTGGGGTCTATAGGAGTCCGATACATTTTGACCAGAGGGAGGGGGTGTCCAGCCATCAATCTGGATGTTTAGTATATCGTACAGGTCAAACATTTGGTAATTAAGTAGATCCTTCATTACTAAAATGTGTGGTGTTGTTCAGACACACCAATCGTTTGCATGTCCTGATTTGCTGCTATTATTTTAGATACATGAATAATTCATTTATTTTGATTCTGGTTTATCTGGCCATCTCACTGCTGCTCTATCTTTTGTGTAAAAATACCAAGAAAGGAGGGATTATTTTAGAACTAGATGTTACTATACAAGTATGGCTAACCTGTAGCGGCAGGTAATTCTGATTATAATCCATTCCTTTCTCAGCATAGTCTCTTGAGGCTGGAATTACGTAGCAGAGGTCATTAGCATCACCATTATACTGGTGTATCATTTTGGAGCATTAAGAAAAACTGAGCCCCAAGAGTAATTTGGGATTCTTAAGGAGTTTACTTACTGAGTGATTTCTGTTATAATTCATTAATCCCATTTTATCCACAAGAAATCTCATGTGAGTAATCAAATGACTTACTGATATATTGAGAAGTACCACAAGCTAGGAGAAAACAGAAGCCAGCACATTAGTTCTTATGGGTAATCCAAGCTTCTTCCTAGGATTTTGTTCAGGTAGATTGTGAATTGTAAGAAGTGCCAAGTTGACAGTAGCGAGGCCCAGCGTGTTTATTGCTCTGCTTGCTCTACACGTGAAAATGAAGTTGGAACATATTCAGTAACATCCATCTGAGGTCAACAAAGTACAGTGAGCACTAGAACAAATTTGTTACTGTTCTGAGCTCTCACTGGTTCTCACAAATAGTATCCTCCTCATATGAAAACGAGGGACAATGGTCATTCACCTTAAGAAGGAGGTGAGGGTTTGGGGATTGACATTTAGGATGAAGATAGATTTGGTCCAGACTATGCACACTCGGCCAGTGGAGCTAGCCACACACCTCGTCTGCTGACAATCATAAGAGGAGTAATAATTAAACAGGCTGATGTTACTGTAGCATTTTATAATTTGCAAAGAGGTTTTCATTTACCTTCTCTTAACCTGTTCCTCTCAAGAGCCCCTTGAAGTTTAGGAGGCAAGGATTATGAATCTGTCCTTTTACAAAGGAGGTTTAGAGAGATTTCATGACACAGCTGAGAAGGAACTCCAAATATCCTGGTTCTCAGGGGAGTGTCCTGTCCCTACAGCAGTCTAGTGATTTGGCAGGACTCTTGCTGCTGTGGGAGGAGAATCCACACAAAATGGAGCCGCCTGGGCCTCCTGCCCTTGACGTGGTCTGTGACTCAATTCCCCGACATACTCATTTTATGAACTTCCTGGGATTACCATGTTATAGCCTCTATGTGCTTAATCCTTGAGCCTTATTTTGGAATAAAACTAACACATCAAAAACTCGTACCAGACAGTATTTGGTGAGTGCAGTGAGTGGAGAGTTTATAAAAGTGAGAGGGAGTCATGCTTTGGGAGATTTCCTTTTATCTTTTGTGTATTTATTTCTGCTATTTG